TACAAGGCGCTGAAAAGAATGAACTTCCGGAAATGGAGTCGAGAAAGGATACAAAGTTAGAACGAAAACTTTCGCCGGAAATGGAAAGATTTATAAGTCCAGATAAAAAAAGAAAGCAGCGCAGTAATGAAACATAGGAATGAAGAAACCATCACGCTTGAACAGTTCATAAGACAAGACAGATTCCACAGGCCGGGAATCCGTGTTACAGTAACCCCGGGTTGTCATTAGGGCGCCTTGTTGGATTGGAGCATGGACCGTACGCAAGGCGCGGAACACAACTTTTTGAATACCGCTGAGTCGTTATTTTTGCGATTCGAGGGGGTGCTTCATCTCATTTTTCTCGTGAAACAAAGGCGGTCTGCTTTTCATTGTCTTCTCGGTCCTCAAAACTGCGGTATGTCCCTTTTCTCTATGCTGTTTTGATAGGGTTCTCAAGTTTCTTGTACAAGTAGTCATTAAATATTGATCAGGCTATTTTTTCGATAGTATCTCAGTTGTCTTGCTGGTCTGCTGACGCCACTCTATATGAAAACTGGGCATTTCCTATACCTTTGAATAACTCTCTTTTTATCATACTTCCATGGGTCGTCGGAGTAGTGTTTCCGTGTGAAAGCTTTTGTGTAGAATTAAGGAGGGGGGAGGGAGGGGGAAGAGGTGGCATTTTGTCGATTCGCTATTTTCTCTAACTATATAAATTGCATGTCCCAAGAACCGGGTGAGTACCTGCAAACACCTTGTTCAGAGTGTGGAGGCCGATAGCGTAGTGCTACAACGCCGCAATTGCATTTACAGCCATACGGAAAGCCATCGTTAATGTATCGATATAAGTTCAGCGAAAAATGTCCCGCCACAAGTCCGAAGAACTGCGCCACATTTTTCAACCAATGGCCTACGCAGTAATTCCTTAGAGGTGGTGAACTGAACCTGTACATCAAGTAGATTTAGTGTAATGATCCGAAGGTTGGAATGGCAAATTTCGTGGTCTTAGATCGGCTCCCTCCCTAGTCAATCAGACCTTCCATCCGACTGACAAGGGAAGGATACTAACTCGTCCTGGCCATTCAGAAAATGAGATGTATACTCCCAGCGTCTTCGTACGCTGGAAACACAAATCTGGCTTCCAAATCTGCTAAACGATTCTGGGTGAGGAGTTACGGACCTTTTTTGCTACTGTGCTTAACCATTGCGGTGCGCCCCCTGCTTATGCTTCGCGCTTGTAAACCCTTCGTGACCCAACCGCCATCGTGGCTCGGTGGCAGCCAGTAAGGTAAGCGGAATGGGCTCATTAGTCCCCGTGGCGGATGGCAGGTTCGATGTCCTTGATGCGTTTGGTCTTTTTGCTTCTTTTTTGGAAACGTGTGGCTCACACTTGGGAAGTAAAGTTTGGGCATACCTGTGCGACCACCAAAGACGATACTCCCCTGCTCTTTATTGAGCCCCGCTTAGATTTGTCGTGAGATTACATCTTCTAAAACAATAACTGCGGTTCATAAGTAATGGACCAAAAATACAACATATACTGCCTGAAGTACGGTGAATCTGAGAAAATTTCACCATCCTATAAAATGACAACGTGTGTGGGCAACGAAAGTTTCAACATGTTCGGTAGCTCTAATCACCCACGCACACAATATCAGCCAACACCTCTGCGACCGTGCCTACCATAACTAAAGTAATATTAGGCACTGTTGAACTACTCCTACCCCAGAAAGCTCAAAAAATTTTCTCGCTGAAACGTTGTCTACAGATGCAATTCTATGCCCTGATCACGGTTTTAACCCTCGTTTTGAGCGCTGGCGTCATTTGGCGCCATTATGCACCAATTTGGCGCCCACCACTTTTTTCCTGCAAAGTTGATGAAAACTTGCATATGGGGTTGTAGATTGGAGCTCTGGTTAAGAATTATCACCAGGTTTCCAGAGTTGGCGGCGATGGCGCAATTGGCGTATACTCGCCAACTCGCGACCAAGGGTCTAGCGCGAAATGCTGGTTCCCGTAATCTGGACTCAAGTTACCCCATATGCCCCAAAGGGTTTTTTTCATGCGACTTTTGGTGAAAAAAATGGTGGGCGCCAACTTGGCGCAGCATGGCGCCAAATGACTCCAGCGCTCGAAACGAATGTGATATTCGTGATCTGGGCATCGAATTACACCTATAGGCAACGTTTCAGCGAAAAAGGTTTTTTTGAGTTTTCTGGGGTACGAATGAGTGTCAATGTCAATTACAAGGTTGTCGAACACACACTGTACATATCAACGTCCTTGTAATTGATGGCGAGGATAGATAGCTCGTACGAAGACGATAATACGGATCCTCTCTGATTCCAACGTGTGATGGCGATGAAGAGAAAGTTTGTTCCCTAGGAGCTAGAAGAACAGCTACGTCACTTTCGGGATGTAAAGGTCCCGATAGAGAAGGTAGTTCGCTTGTACCCATTGCCCACTTATGGACTTCACTTTATACAAGTCCATATCAAGTATGCGTGTGGTTGAAGTGAATGAAGCCATTGCCTTCTACCGTTCGAGTGCGAAAAAAGTCGCATTATCTACAAAAATATATGCGTTAAATAAAGCTGCCATACCAACGCTATGAAAATGAATGCTTTCACTGAAGTCAAAATGAAAAACCCTCTCAAAATTCAGACATAGGGTCTAATAAGCAGCAGGGAGGGGTCTTGGTGGTCGTACAGGTATGCAAAACTACTTCCCAAGTGTTGAGCGCACGTTTCAAGAAAAAGCAAACTACGAAAGCGCCATCAAGGACTCGAACCCCCATCGCACGACTGTAAGTCCATTCACTTACCTACTGCGCCACCGAGCCACGGTGGCGGTTTGAGTCACGAAGGGTTTACAAGCGCGAAGCATAAGCAGGGGGCGCACCGCAATGGTTAAGCACAGTAGCAAAAAAGGTCCGTAACTCCTCACCCAGAATCGTTTAGCAGATTTGGAAGCCAGATTTGATATCAGCGTCCAAGACGGCATCCTTCACCAGTATACATCTCATTCTGAATGGCAGGACGAGTGGTATCTCCCATTGTAGAGTGGCGGTCATTTTGCACTCAGACCGCGTCAATGGGAGGATTAAGCGCACTGCTGCAACATGGCTGGTCTGCGGCATTCATTGTAGAACCCGGACAGACTCAACACAGCCACCTAGAGCGGGTTTCTGGATGGAAGTAGAATGCAATGCGTCACGTCCCCATGAAGGTCAACAGCCAAGCCTTATATCATAGGTTTGTTGTATGTTGTGGGACGCATTCAGGACTGCGTCATTCGAATCGCTTGAGCGATAAATCGCGCGATCCATATCACTCCGTCCACCGTCGCAAGCGGTGCATCGGCCGGGCTGCCATTACAGCGGCTTGGATCGCGTTTGAGTGATGGAGTGGCCGCGGTCGTGGTCACGGCGATTTCGTCGCTCGACGCGATTCTCGAAATCGCGAAGTCTGAACGTGGGTCAGAATGGTAGTCGTTGTCTATCGTAGGCAAAATAGTTTTCGGTGGGCTGTCACGCGGGGGTGCGCGTTGATGACACTTCTATGTCTGTCTTCCTTGGTCTCATATTATCCTTGCTTACGTATTCCCGAATTTCACGGTTAGGGTGACCGTTCTCATTCAGTAATAGAGTGCGCTCGTCTGTCGCATGTGTTTTCCCATTAACTTTCCCCGTTTTTGAACAGGGCTCGAATTCATGGGCCACACTTGGTGCACATTTACAGCATGTCGTCGGCAGAACTAATTCGAGTTGCTGCAAGAGTGCGTCCCTCAGCATGTACTGGCAATAACGAGCGAATAACTAACGTACTCGACGATAAAAACTTATGGTAAGGACCCACGTTAGACATTTCCTTCCTTCGATTCAGTAAGTTTTTCAGCTTCAATCCACGTCACCGCGAACCAGAAACCTCCCACATTCGATCACTCGTGCGAGTGAAGAACAGTTTTATCCGATCTAGGTGAAATCTACGTCATAAGTGCTATCTGTGCATCTCAGCTGTCGCCTTTCATTGCGGCTATCACATGATTTGGAATGGCCACGCAGGCGACAAGTCGGTAGAGGCAACCTCTCCTGGAGGCTGAGCGTTCAATTAGCTTTGCGAGGATCGGCGTGTTTGTATGCTCCGGCGCGAGCACTTAAAATACGATTTTCAGTGATTGCCTGCAGAATTTCAGAGCGCTCCGAAAAAAAAACCTCGAAATGTTGGATCGATCTATACCTTCCTAGTCGCTCAAAACGCTGGCGGACGCTCAAAGCGCTATTGCAAAGTATGAACTCAGCCTGTGCTTAGGGAAGGAAGGGACCACTACCTCGATGAGATTAAGAGCGCCAACGACCTAAGTCACCGTAGTGACTGAAGTGTAGTCATCGCTTTCACGCGTAGCTCCTTCCTAGAGTGCGTTCATACTTCGCGTCAGCTCTGAGCATTTCAAGCGGCTGCGAAATTTTAGGTATCGATCTAGCGTGCTACAGCGTTTTGAGCGATTAGGAAATCGTAGGCATCGACCCAGCGCTTTGAGGGTTTGCGAATAGTTCTGAGCTTTTTGCGAGCAGTCACTCAGGACGCTAAATCGCTATTTTCCTAGTCGCTCAAAACGGTGCCGTACGCTGGCGTAGGCTAGATCGATATCTTATATTTTCCTAGTCGATCAAAATGCTCAAAACACTGATGCAAAGTGTGAACGCAGCCCAACTAGGTTCAGCGCCTTATCGCACTAATATGAATTTTCTTTACTTAGGAGCAAGTGTTTGAAGAGGTTGCGAGCCGATATCATCGATGGATGCGTGAATGGCTTCAACGGCACCATATTCGCATACGGTGAGTAACTACTCCGAATCATATCCCTGGCCCTTTTCGATATCACACTTTAGGCCAAACCGGCTCCGGGAAAACGTACACTATGCTTGGACCGTCTCAGGTCGACAACTTCATTGTAAATCCTGAACATCGCGGTCTATTCCTCGAGCTTGTGACGCGCTCTTCACAAAGTTATGCACCATGACAGCTGAGGTAGAGCGCTTATGCTTTTGTAGTATGTGTTTCTTGAGAAAATGATTTTCAGAAAGGAGAGAACTTTAAATACGAGGTGGTATGCCGTTTCGTTGAGCTGTACAATGAGGAATTCTACGATCTTCTCGGCGATTCACAGCAGAAGCTCACAATACGTAGCGATTCAAATGTAATCGAGTTATTACCGCCACTGTTTCTCTTCTATTCAAAAATTTCCTCTTTCAGGTAGTTCAACTTCTTGGCGTGTCAGAAGCATCCTGTTCAGTCAAGCATCGATCTTATGAGGGTAAGTAATGGGCAGTAGGCATTCATTCTCCATCACCTGTTTTATAATGAGAGTTGTTGTACTACAAGCGCTAACGTAGTTTGGGCGAAGAGAGCATGCGGCATGGCGCCTACGTGCAGAGTACAACATCATTGGGAGAATCCTATGAGGGGTTCGTATTTAGTCACTGAGGAAGGGCTGTATCTGCCTTTGAGAACGACTTTCCAAACCGTGAGAGAGCTTTTTCCGGTTGTTTCGTTCTCTCGGTTTTTCTCATGTTTCTCATATATTCTCTCCGCACCCCATAGTTGCTGCACCGCAAAACTACCATAACAATACTTTCTCTCAGTAATTTAGTTGCATTGATGCTGATCGTCCCCTTCTCCCGCTCGACCCAGCTTTTTCAGGGGAGGGATGGGGTCGGACTGAACTTTTTAAAGTAGGAATTTGGGATAGGTTCAGAAGAGGATAGGTAGACCGGAAAGGGGGTTGTACCAGATGGAATCCGGAGTGAAAGATCGCACTGACTGACATCACGATTCTCCACACTGCGTGCGAGGCTATGCTTTGCTCGTCTTAACTGCGCTAAGCGTGAGCCTTGGTCAGAGACGGGGCTTCGGCGCGTCGGTACTCTCCCCCTCCCCTTGAAAACATGTGCATCGATCGCGTCGAACGCGCGAACGGAGCGCTGCCCTCGCGAAGTCTGAACGCTGCCTAACTCTACTGCTTTACTGCTTTTCGTACTGAGACACTTCGGGGATTCTGCACGAATGCCACCATTATTTTACAAAGCTTACGGAAATGAATAAGTAATCCGGGAGCTTCAATGCCTAATAAATGTTCAGGAAACGTTCTGTGTAGTTCTGGCATGTCGAGGCGCTGTTCGGCTGGGAAAGGGAGGGGTGGGGTTGGGGGAACCAGTGTTTCTTAGCAAATCTAGTTCAGGTCACTTACTTGTACCGCAGATTTCACAGGAGTTTACAAGGTCAAGTATTTGTTGACATGAACTGACAAAGAGAAACTAGCGAAAGTGCAAAATGTCCCCTCAAGCCGAACGGTACCTGGTTTTTGGTTAGTGGCCTAATTGGTACACGAACAGAAAAGGGGGAATCCTAAATAACATTTGTCTACTTGCTGCTGTAGAGAAATAAAACAGGGTGTTAGGGAACAGAGGTGCCCTTACCAAGTGGTCAAAGTAGCAGTTTCCACGCTGTGGTGTTCATTTTGACATTGCTCTTGAAATTTAGATCTTGAAATCGGATGGGACACAAGAAGAACTGGGGAAACGGCGATGAATCGGGAATCGTCTCGATCGCATGCTATTTTCATCATAGACGTGAGCTTTTCCTTATTTATACTCTAGTTCGCGCGGATGAAGGGGCGTGTGAGGCAGTATGAGTGTGCCACGGCGCCAAGACCGTCCTCCGCCAGTTGTTGAAGCGGGTATGCGACAACAATTGATAGAAAACGAGTGATACGAACGATACGATACAGTCTTTTCATTTGTTCGCTTCAAAAGCTGGTGGAGAACGGCTTGGCATCGCGCTAAACTCATCGCGCCTGACACGCCCCTCGTCCGCAGTGAACTAGACTATACACGCTCACTCTGTTTCAGGTGAGAACGGAAGAGTTAATCAATACTATTGTTAACAAGAAGAGTGCTACGCTGAATATGGTCGACCTTGCTGGGTCAGAAAGGCAGTCACAAGCCCCAACTGTAGGAAACCGATTCAAAGAGGCCGTGAATATTAACAAGGTGAGAGCCAGTTTGTCGTGAATTCGCAGCTAGATTTTCTGATAGTAATGCTGCTTTCAGTCACTCAGCGTATTAGGTCGCGTAATTCGAACGCTGTCAGCAGCAAATCGCCGTGGCGAGTTCATCCCCTATCGTGAATCCAAGTTAACTCACATTCTACGGGATTCACTCGGAGGAAACAGTAGGACAGCTGTGATCGTCAACCTTCATCCTGACATGGAGTAAGTCATCTATTTTTAGAATTCTTGCATAGTTTATGGGGTATCAAAAGAAAGAAAAATTGGCCTAGCGAATCTATTGGTGCATACAACCTAGCGTCATTTTTGAGCCGCATCGTCTTGAAAAATTGATAAATATGATGGGGGAGCTTTCCGTTTCCTTTTTCTTTGCGGTCCCCTATTCATCCATCTTGGATTCCTCACCTGGGTGCGTGCACTTTAGTACTTCTCGATTCAGACGCTCGAGCAATCGCGCGACTAAAACGATTTGATCGCGAAGTATGAACACGCTTGAGAGCTGCATATTGTTTCTCATCACGCTTTCTGTGACATCTGTCGAATGCCATCCAGATTCTGTTCTTCGATTGGCTCTATTTGCTCTTTACTGCCCCCCCCCCCCCC